TCCCGGTCTCACATGGTGTCTGCTCTCTGCCTACACTTCCCAGAGTTCTCATCTTCTAGTCACGCCTATTTTCCTGCCTCTATTGGCCACAGTGTTTTATTCATCAACCAATAAGAGAAACATACACAGAAGGACATCCCCCATCAGACGGTCATGGAGTGAACAGGTCTCAGATCTTAGTTATAAACCACTGATGGGTTCAGAGTGTGTTCATAGGTTCTTCCATACGCAGATTAGTTGTTTGCTTTCTGTTGCTGTGAGAAACGCCATGGCCGAAGGCTACTTGAGGCAGAAAGTGCTTATTTAATTTTAACCTCCAGCTCCATGTTAAGGGATGTTAGGGAGGAACTCTAGGCAGGATCCTAGAGGCAGTAACCAGGAAGGAATACTGGTTACTGTCTTGCTCGCTAGCTAACTTTTGAAGAACTTTCTCATACAGTCCAGGACCACCTGTGCAGGACCCACAGTGTGCCGTGTCCCTCAGCCCCAAGATCAATCAACAGTCAAGATACTTTCTTGAAAACATAACCACAGAACCAATCTAATGTAGGCAATTCAATTAGGGGTCTCTCTTCCCAGGTGAGTCTAGGTTGCATCAAATTCATGGTAAAACTCACAGGGCAATGCTGGAGTCCCTGACAGGTGTTAAGTAGATACTGAACCAGACAGTGTTTTCCAAGAGTGTTCTCAAGTAAAACAGTTTCACTGATTCTCTGATATCTGTCTAGGTGTATGACAGGCCTGGATGCCTACACAGCCTAATTACCCCTTGTTTGGGAGTCAGCAAGTGTTTGGTGTCTTGTTCATGTGGGTTCCATGCTTGACTTCAGCCTGAGCTCAGCCAAACAGAACTTATAGGAACCTTCCTCCATGATGTTGAAAAGAGGCCTACAGTCCTATTCTGGTCTTGTCATGTTAGTTTGATACTTATTTTCTTGGATAGAAATTGTTTCTAACTTACAGCTGTGATCACTGAATCGTCTTAACTCTCAAGCAGAAAACTTTGATTTTCTCCCCAATTGATAGTAATGCCTCGTGTTTTAAGACTACCAATAAATACTATATTTTTTTTGTTGTTGTTGGTATAGCTATTTCCCTTAGGTTCAGTAGGGATTTGTTCTTGAACTATGTTGTATACAGCTCAGTGGAAGAGTAGGTACTAACACTCATAAGTTCATTGCTTTGATCCAAAGTGCAATGGGAAAACCAAATACGCTGTTGGATGAGGTGATTATATTGTGGACTCTTGAACTGGAACGCCTCAGATCAGACATCCCCCAGTATTAATGAGCACCCACTGAATGGCTGGTCACCTTGTCTGTGTTATTACTCTGATAGGACCCTTGTACTATCAGTAAGTAGAGGGTGGTTCATTTTCTGACAGCCTTAATGCTTTGAGACAATTTGGGGAACTCAGAAAGAGGGTAACCACCCCCTGAACTGCAGATGAAGTTGATGATATATTATTGTCTTGTTTTCCTAGCCTCAAGATGCTTTTGAGGGTTCTATCTGAAGTTGTTTTATTTTAAATCCAAATGAACAAAAATAAACAAACAACAACCCAGCCCTCTCTGAAGCTCAGATGTGATTGGGTGGTAGCTCATTGTCCTGCATCACCCAAACTCACATTTTAAAAGCCTACATGGTTATTCTTGCTGTAGCTAAATAAATAATCAAGCTGTAGGGCTTTAAATGAGAATGTTCCTCCATAGGCTTCCATATTTGAACACTTGTCTCCTAGTTGGTGGTGCTGTTTGGGAAGGTTTCACAGGGGCAGCCTTGCTGGAAGAAATACTTCACCAGGGACAGGCTCTCAGATCCAAAATCCATCACATCCAATTTGCTGTGTCTGTTTGTTTTGTGCTTGGAATTCAAGATGTGAGTTTCTAGTTTCTTGCCCCCACTACCATACTATTCCCACCATTATCAGCTCCAACCCTCTGGACCAATAAGCCAAACAAAACACCCAACTCTTCTATAAGTTGTCTTGGTCTTGGCGTTTTATCACAACAAAAGTAACCAGTGTATAAGTTGGTACCAGAGAGTGGGCTGCTGTTGTAAAGAACCTGGACATGTGGGGTTTTAAAGGAATGTGAAAGACTTTGGACCTTTGGACTAGAAAAGCAGTTGAATGTTGTAAGCAAAGTTTAAAATAGACATTTTAGTGGGAGCCTGGAAGACAGTAGTCCTGAGAGCAATGCAGAATTTAGAGGCTTGTCAAGAGGTTTCAGAGGGAAGAAAGGATCTTAAGAACTGGGCTAGAGGCCATTTATATGATTGTTTTGGCAAAGAATCTGGTCACTCTCTTTCTCCTAAGAACTTGCCAGAGGGTAAATTAAAGTTATGGACTGATTTCTTGGATGTACTCTCAAGGAAGCATCCTATTGAATCTGTGGCATGGCTATTATGAATGGCTGTTATGCCGGTCTGAAATGTAGAAAAAAAAATGGGGCTCAAAAAAAAAGAAAATATAGTTTGAAGAGAAAAAGTGCACCAGGAAACTTAATGTTGCAGCCAAAGCATGTGCTGGAGGAGTTAAGATTAGTACCTTTCTGGAGAGGCCTCTCTGCATGTCAATAAAGGAAAAGGTGTTCACAGGTCAAGAGCCCACCCTGCCAAGTGAGTAAAACCGTTTCAGCTAAGGGGATTCAAGACGGGAAAGATTCATCCCAAGCAGCAAGCATGGCTGGGCAGTATTTTCTACATAGTACTACCTTTAAAGGCATGAAGGATGCAGGAGAGAAGGGTTCATGTATTCTTCCTCCATTACTTCTGACAGCCAATGAGGCCCAGCAAAATGTGATAGAGAAGACACCATGTGAAGTCTTTGGGAGGTCAAGAGGCTGTGAGATGCCATTGTGAAGGCTGTAGAAGTGAAGCCTGGGCGGTAGTGGAGACCATGGACACGGCAGAGCCATGAGATATCCGTCAAAAACAGCTGCATATAGAGTGAAAACATCCCAAGAGGGAGATCTATGTTGTGGGCAGCCAGGCTGGAGGGCTGGAGCCATCGAAAGTCTTTGAAGTTAAGAGTCTCAGGCACTGGGTATGGAGCTGTAGAATTTGGTGTTTGGTCTGTTGGGCTTCAATCTTGCTTTGGTCTGTCATTTCCTCACTGTGCCCCACTTCTTCCCTCTTGGAATGGTCATTTCTATTCTGTATTATATGTTAGAAGTATGTAAATTTTGAGGGTTTTTGTTTGACATCACATTTACAATTAATGTTATCTTGGAAGAGACTTTTAAACTTTTAGTGTTGTATCTGTGAGACTATGGGGACCGTTAGAAGTTGGGGTAAATGCATTTCACATTATGACATGGTGAGCAGCCCACAGGAGTTGGGGAGCAGAATGTAAATGTCTGAATAAAAACATTCCCAAAAGGCTCCAATATTTGAATAATTGGTCCCCAGTTGGTGGCATTGTTTGAGGGAGGTTTAGGGGTACAACTTGTGTGTGGAAACCTGTCACTTGGGGTTGGCTTTCAGAGCCAAAATCCGCTCCTCAGTCTCAGCTTTGTGCTCACTGTTCAAGATGTGTGCTCCCAGCTTCCAGTGTCTGCCACCTGCGACTATGCTATCCCAGCCATTACAGAATCCACCCCTATGAACCTATAAGTCCAAAGAAACTTTTATTAGCTGTGTAATTATGGTGTTTTAGCACAGCAACAGAAAAAATAAGTAATACATAAATTAGGTCTAGAACTTATTGTTCCAACAATTTGGTTTTACTCTGATTTCCTTATTATTTTTAGATGTTTTATTACTAACCTTCCATGTGAGACTTCTGTACCAACTTTTCTACCATTCTCCAAAAAAAAATTTCAAATTTCTCCAACTACTCTGACTTGGTATCAAAAAAACAAACAGTTGAATCCTAGGAAATGAAGCTGACAACTGACACAAACTAAAAACAAGACACTATAATAGCTTACCCATAAAAACCTCTTTTGCATGTTTTTGTGTGAGCTACCCAGAGAGTTCATTGGCAAGCGTGATTCAAATTTAATATAGAAAAATCATTCAGATTGCTATCATTGGCTTCCACTCCAAATACTAGAGCCCAAGTCTAGGAATGTTCTTAGTCGACAACCTATCAGTTTCAAATCAACCTCTTAGACTATGCCAAAAATTAATTTTGCCTTTCTCTAGCTTCCAGGAAAATAATGACTTACCTATAAATCTGCTTGGGTCATAGAGGGGCCAACTTCTAATACCCCTCATTTGCAGTTCCACAGCCATGAATCAGACTCCACTTTCTGATCTGGACTGATCTTTTCCCCCATGATGGCAGATCACAGGTATAGTGGTACAACTCCATTTTAATGTTGGAGACCCCAAGCTTGGAGGTGTGGGTACCTCATCCTGAGTGTGTTTCTTTCATATATTTTGAGTGGGCTGGATATTATACACTGCATGCATGTGAGCTACCAACTTTGACCCTCATTTATGTGTCCAATGACACAAGTTAGTCCAAAATAAGCACAAAATTCATATAAATTCTGCCCATGTGAAAAGTTTCTATAATCGATGATTTTATTTTTCTCCCAATTTAGTTTCTTCCTTTCTGATTAATTGAACAGGTGAATATCTAGACTGAAATAACTGCTTCAAATAAACTATATTGACGAATATAAAAACGAGGCTGGAGAGATGGCTCAGTGGTTAAGAGCACTGGCTGCTCTTCCAAAGGTCCTGAGTTCAATTCCCAGCAACCACATGGTGGCTCATGACCATCTGTAATGGATTTTGTGCCCTCTTCTGGCCTGCAGGCATACATGCAGGCTGGACACTACACATAATAAATAAATAAATCTTAAAAAAAACCCAAAAACATTGTGCTCACACTTTCTACAGAGTTAAGAAATAGTCCAAGGCGCTAATTGTTACTTCACATTTTAACTATTCTTTTTTTTTTTTTTTTGATTTAATGTGTTGAATACCAAGAAAACCTCTATGACAGGAAACTGTGCTCCCCCCAATAATGTTATCAGGTACAAATACACAGGCAATATTTTATTTAAAAAATAGGAGTTGGGGAGATAGTGCAGTGTTTAAGAGCATTTGTTGCTCTTTCAGAGGTCCTGGGTTCGATTCCCAGCACCCACATGGTGTTGCAAAACCATCAGTAACTCCAGTTCCAAGGGATGCAATACTCCCTTCAACTTCTGTGGGTACCAGACACACAACTGATGGAATACATACATACATGCAACCCTCATACACAAAGTAAAAATAAATTCAAAGAAAGAAAAACCAGCCAGCTTCACAGGCTAAAGGTAACAGGTTCCGAATTTTACACCATCCTACTCCACCCCTTATAGTGGGTTTCTGCATTGGTTTTATTGCTACTGATGCTAGAAAGAGTAGTAGAAAATACCTACCAGGCACACGTGTGCTCACCCATGTCAGATCTTATGGGCCCAGATGCTAGTGGATTCATTTATGAGTCTCACTTAAATACTGTTTAACAGGAGCCACAGGCAGCTGGCGTGAACCTGCGATCCTACGCAAGGAAGTTTCTCAAGCTTTGTAACTTTAAGGGCCTGAGCACACCTACTCTTCATTCGTCATGAGTGTTATTCATAATTATGAATAATGAAAAAGAACCATTGTTTCTGTGGCTCTTGTAAAAGGCCAAATGTCTTTGAACTCTGTTGTTTGTTTTGGATGCTTGATTGACCCGAGGACCCTGTATCTGTTTCTTTTGTGTTGCTGTGATTAAAAACAACATAAAGGGAAGGCCCCGGCAGCAGGGACACAGAGCTGCCCCAACACTCAGGAGGCAGAGGGAGGGAGTTCTAAATTGTCCTTCAAAGCCTAGAGGACCCTTGTCACTCCCAACCTACAGTCCTTTCCCATGTCACACCAGACCTCTTGCCAGCCAGATTCTACACTCTTCACCAGGACAAGTCTGGCTGACTGCCTGATATTCTCTTCCACCCTGACCTAGACTCTGTCTCACATACAGTGTCCCCAAATAGACAGGGCACCTCTTGGGATGCCCCAAACTTGAGGATCAGGTCAGGACCCTTTTAGTATTACCCCAACCTAGAGGCATATTTAATACCACATCAAATCTCTCCACTTAACCAGATTCTACATATTGTTTGTCAGGGTTTAGCTAGGTGAGTCTCTCTGATCCTCCCCTCCATGTACCCTGGTCTCCAGTGCCTTTCTAGATGCTGCATGGCTGTGAGAAAAGGCCAGTTGAAGTTTCAAGAAGGTGGCCATTTACACTTCAAAACTACCCCCACCTCTCACCTATCCCAAACTACCTGGGTTTGTAGAGTCAAGTCTCAGGTGCTTGGCATCCTTTCTTTGTGGGCACTGTGGAGTGCGTGGTCCTTCCTGGTTTCCCAGTTAGGTCAGTGGCATCATAGCACATTGGTAAATCTTGCAGGTGGCACTAACCTTGCAGTGGACTGAGAATCTGTTTATTCACCAGGGCGATTAACTTCGGATGGTAGCAGCAGTAACTATTTTATATTGAGCTGCCATGTGGGTACCACCTTTTGGTCTGTCCAAGGGACACAAAGCCCTCAGAGTTGCTCTCATCCTTGGCTTGTGGCCTTCACTATGTCTAAGAAGGATTGGATGCTTAGCAAGGGGATGTATTGGACCTGCTCACAGTCGGAGGCTGGGACTGCAAGAGAACCTCAGGAATCTTTTTCTCCCTCCTATCCTTGGCAGACAGTGGGTTCAGCCTGCAATACTCTGAAACCTCTAAGCCTGCCACATTTTGCCCATTTAGGAAAAGAAAAATCACCTGACAATCGTGGGGGAAATGAACAATAGAGGCCATTCCATTGTATATTAGTAATATTTGCCACTTAGAACTTTATCCTGAGTAAGGAAAATGTGTTGTATGGTTTTCGGAGAACCACTCAGTACAAACAAACGCTCAGAGGAGTCTTGTTCTTCTGACATGTATTTGAAAATGGTGCTCTTCCAGTTTTCATGAGTGAGCGCATTGAGACTTTTAATATGTAATACAATTACATGCTTTGAGAAGTGAGTAGTGAGTTGTTGGTACTTGAGAGCATGAGGTTTTTTTTTTTCTACCAGATTAATTAACAGCTTCTACTACTACTTCGTTGTTTGAAGCAACAACAAAGGGTTTTACAACATTATTTGCATTTGTGGACCTCTAGTATCAATTACAGTGAGAGCCCATATATAAAGAAAGGTTCTGTTTCACTTTTTACACATGCACAGAATATAAGTATTTTACTTTTTTTTTTGAGTTGTGCATTTGGGACAAGGGTAAAAACTACCATGCTCTCTGATGTCAAAAAGCTTTGTACCTTGATTTAAAGGCTTTGACACATTTGGTATATTTATAGTTTTTATTCTAATATAAACTCTGGTGTTAGGGTGTGCAAAATGGCGACCGTCTTTGGCACGTTTTTCTACACTTGCAGGGTTTGTCTCAGGTGTGAATTCAATGTTCAGTAAGGGATGAGCAGCAATTTAATTTTTTTCCCACATTAAAAAAACATCATTTGTGTTTCTTTCTAAAGTGACGGTGGTGCCTAGCAGAGGATTGTAAACATTTAAGGATTTGGTATTGTTTGTATTGGTAGGGTTTCTCTGCAGGAAGAACTAATTCTCTGACAGTGAGAAACTTGTGAATGAGTCACAGACTTTGCTACGTTATGTTCACTGCTTCTGCAGGGCACACTCCCGGTTTGAATCATGACATCAAACACGCTTTTAATTGTGGGTACAGGTTTACTACATTGTTCACATTTTGCTGGTTTTACTTATGTGTGAAGTCTCTGGTGTTTTCTGAGGTTTGAACACTGACTAAAGCATTTCCCACACTCGTCACATTTGTAGGGTTTCTCTCCCGTATGGATTCTCTGGTGTTGCGTAAGGTTTGTGCAATGGATGAAAGCTTTGCCACACTCTTTACACTTGTAAGGTTTCTCTCCGGTGTGGATCCTCAGGTGTTTAGTAAAAGACGAACGGCAGTTAAAGGCCTTGCCGCAGTTTTCACATTTGTAGGGCTTCTCTCCAGTGTGAATTCTCTGGTGTTTTCTGAGGCTTGAGCACTGGGTGAAGGACTTCCCACACTGTTCACATTTGTAAGGTTTCTCTCCGGTATGGATCCTCTGGTGTTCACTAAGTGTTGAGCTTTGGGTAAAGGCTTTGCCACATTCTGCACACCTGTAGGGCTTCTCTCCAGTGTGGATTACCTCGTGTTTTCTAAGGCTTGCACACTGAGTGAAGGATTTCCCACACTGTTTGCACTTGTAGGGCTTCTCTCCTGTATGAATTCTCTGGTGCTGACTAAGAATTGAGCAGTGGTTAAAGCTTCTGCCACACTCTTCACATTTGTAGGGTTTCTCTCCCGTGTGGATTCTCTGATGTTTTTTAAGGCTTGTACACTGGGTAAAGGATTTTCCACATAATTTACATTTGTAGGGTTTCTCTCCCGTGTGAACTATGCTGTGTTTAGTGTAACTTGAGCAATACTTAAAGGCTTTGCCACATTCTTTACATTTGTAGGATTTCTGGGCATACTGAGTTTTATGTGTAGTAAGGTTTGAGGTTTGATTGAACGTTGAGTCACAATCTATATGCTTGTAATGATTATCTTGAATATAGTTACACTGATGGGCAGTAAGCTTTGAGTCCTGGGAAAAGAAATTTTCACAACTGAAAAGGTTCTTTGGAAACAGAGTAAACTGATGTTTGTTGGGACCTGAGCCACGGTTAAAGTTATTATGCACTTTGTTACACTGACCAGATTTCTTTACAGTAATCATATCCTTGCAATTATTTAGTGTAGAGCCATTCCTGAAAGCTTCACTAGTTTCTTCACACATGTTTGTGGTTTTCCAAATATCTGCATCTGGATTTTGGGTATGCAATAATGGATCCAGGGCAAGTAGCCCACAGTCATTAGAACTGTGCATTCGGCCACAGGAGAGATCTACTTGCTGACTGAAGAGTAAGGATCTTTCAGGGTTGGAAGTCTCTACCTGATTAGTTCTAGAGATCGGTTCTCTGTTTCTCGCTTTGTTGTCTGTGGAAATGTTTGAGTGCAAGATTAATCCCCCTTTCAGGTCTTCCAAACTTCTTTTCAAAGTTGAGTTATGCTGAAAAGTTTCCTGTGGAATTTTTTGTTTATAGATACGTGTCTCACCGAAAGTACCTGTCCTAGTGTGAGTTCTTGTCATAGCTGTTTTCTGTTTCCGGTCTCCATTGTCAGTGACAGCTTTGCTATTGCTAGTGAGCACACGCCGGTTATGTCCACCGCGGCAGGCTGTTTGACCTCGGTTCTCATCCGAATCTGCCCAATTTCTTAAACTCTTAAGGCTGTGACTTCCAAGTCTTCCATTAGTCACTCTTTTAAAGGAATGTTTTAGGATCTGTTCTGGTGGAAAGTTCTGGGAACAATGATGAGAAAGAGCTGAAATAAATGAAAACAAATGAGTTAATTTAATAGACTCTGGTGATTACAGTTAATAAATATATGCGAAGCTATACCAGATTGGAACATCAGTGGGAAACCACAGGACCAAAGGGCTCATTACTCTCTTTTGCACGTTAACTTCAGAAAAAAAATAAATTCAATCCTCCATCTCCATCAGGAGGAAAAAAAAGAGGTTTTTTTGGGGGGTGGTGGTGGTGGTGGTAGTAGGGACTGTCTGAAATCTGGCTACCTAAAATGACAGACTGTAGGTGATATCAGGTGCATATTTATTTTGTATGTATGTATGTATGTATGTATGTATGTATGTATATTTACTTATTTTTTGAGTCAGTGTTTCTCTATGTAGTTTTATAGCTTATCTCACAGAGATAAGCCTGCCTCTGCCTCCTGAGTGCTGGGGTTAAAGGTGTGTGCTACCATCGCCTGGGTGATATCAGGTATAATTTACATGACAATTTTATACAACTGAGACCAAAGACAAATACTGTTTTGGTACTCCAAACTGTCACCAGGGGTGGAGAGCCCAGGGTAGCTAATGAAATCTGTATTAAAGACATAACTCCATATAAGAGCTGTCCTAAAACAGGTTTCAGAGTCTGTAATAATCAAAAGCATGATGAAGATATCCTGTGGACGGAAAAAAAGTAACTTTCTGAATGTAAAACACATTACTGGTGTTTATCCATTTCACCGAAAAGTAAATTTAATCTACTCATCACATACAGCATGCTATTTTTTAAGTATATATTTATGTTGGAATGACTCTGTGGGAAGAGCATGAACAATACTGCTAACTCATCATCCAAAAACTGATCTATGAATCATATAAACAAAACAACCATGTGAAAGATAATGGATAAAACACAGAAAACATTAACATCAAAAAAGTGAGAATACAAAGAAATAGACACCATAAGCAAACAATGTAGGTGGTGAACTGTAGGGGAAATGTTAGCCATGCCCTCTTGGGGGCTGGCACAGGTGAGGCAGACCATGCACACTAGGGTGTGGTAAGAGTGACATAGCAAGACCTTAACTATGAGGGTCGCATGCAGGCGGCTCTCTCAGTTCCATAGTTTGCCTGGTTGTATGGGACTGACTCCATTACGTGAGAACTCTCCTATTAAAACATCTGTTCATCAAACTTGCTCTGACTCCTTAGCAATCACTTTAGTGAACTTAGTAAGAAATAATGATGGAAAAACTAAAAATGGAGAGACACATCAGAACTCAAGCAGCTTAATTAGTGAAAATGACACAAGCTTTGGAGTCTCATGCCATAAAGATTATCTTGAGAGCAGTGACAGTGATGTGTTCTCTCTAAGAGGCCCTATGTGACCTCAGAGGAGCTTTTAAAGGAAGTACTGCAATGCAGACATAAGATGCAAACACTGTGAACAGGCTGAAAGGATGAAGACACACTCTACCCGTCCACCCATTCCTCAAAGCGAAAGGAAAATTCTAAACACCCTAAGTGGCCATCACCGCTAGATTGCCCTACTGTTACAAGGCAACACAAGTAATAATATGTCAAAGCTCTGTGGGAAATCTAATACAGACCAACGGGATTCCAGCAATGTAATTACAAAGCAAATTCATATGGACTGGAAATTACACTGTCATTAGTGCAAACAAAAAAAAAAAAAAAAAAAGGGAAAATTATGTTGTGTCACTGGAGGCTCTCAGATGTAAGGATTCAGGTATGCTAAAAGTCATGAAGTAAGGGGACAAAGAGAGTTGGCACGGCCATAATTATGTTATAAAAATTACACTTTCAGTCAATAACAGTTATATGATAATGAGATACAATTTAAGTCAGAAACTATGATGAAAGAAAATAACCATGCCGGCAAGTTTTGTTTTTTTAATCAACTAGACTGAAGCTGGAGTCTCCCAAGAGGAGGCAACCTCAATTGAAAAAAATGGCTCTGTGACTTTGGCTTGTGGACAAGCCTTGGGGGGGGCAGTATTTTCACATCTCATGACTTATGTAGGAGAGCCCAGCCCATTGTGGTTGGTGCCATCCCCGTCAGGTGGTTCGAGGGTATACATGAAAGCAGGCTGAGCAGGCAATGGGGAGCAGCCTGGTAAGCTGGACCACACCACAGGCCTTTCCTGCCTCCAAGTCCCTGCCCTGTTCCTGCCCCTCCGGCCCTCAGTGATGGACTGTGATGTGGAACGGCTGCTTTTGGTCATGGTGTTCTATCAAAGCCACAGAAACTCTAATGAAGACAAACACAATGACCATTTTACTAGGAGAGTACAGATGTAACACTCATACAGCTGCACACAACTCATACACACTGGTACAACTCATACAACTCATACAAGTGCACACAACACATACACACTGGTACAACTCATACAACTCATACACATTCATACATCTGCACACAACTCATACACCCTCATACAACTCATACAAGTGCACACAACTCATACACACTGGTACAACTCATATAACTACTACAACTCATACAAGTGCACACAACACATACAACTGCACACAACACATACACACTGGTACAACACATACAACTGCACACAACTCATACACACTCATACAACTCATACAACTGCATACGACTGCACACAAAACATACACAACACATACACACTCATACAACTCATATAACACATACACATTCATAAAACTGCACACAACTCATACACACTCATACAACACATACACACTCATACAACTGCACACAACACATACATACTTCCTGCTTCTCAAACACAGGATGTAAACACTGCAAATTGAGGATGTTGAAAGCGCCACAATAATCCCGAGTTCATATCCCTGCTTTTCATACTGTAAAATAAAGCTATACCGAGGACTAATTAGGAAACAAATCCTGAAAAATACTATAAATATTAGACCTACAGACACAAACACATATTAAGTTGGATTACCTGGTAGGATATAACACAGTCCTAATACATAGGAGAGTACTAAGTTCATTTCTAACTATCATAAAATAATAGACAATGACTGGAAGAGAGATAAAGAGAACCTAAAACTGTGTGTCCTATGAATGACACATTCTTGACTATGGTATTATCACAGAATGAGAAGTTAAAAATAATATGACTGTCATATCCAACATAATCTAGAGAATCTGTTTAATCTGTATCAAAACCTGAAAACTACTTTTAGCAGAAATGCCTATAGCAATTCAAAAAAATCAGATGATTCTCTTATGTTAATGAAGAGTTAGATACTCTTAAGAAATTGGGAAACATCAGGTTTCCCGAGCACAAAGCCTATTAACCACAACAGTAATCAAAACGGCTTATACTGACACAAAGCTAAACAAGTAGACTCATGAAAATCAGGATTGCCATAATACCCAAGTGATGGCCAAATGAAGAGGTATTTTCACTTCAACGTTAACTGCAGTATTACTTAAAACAGAAAATAGGTGACAGCAACCCAGTGCCACTTGACAGTAGCGGATAAACGTGATTTGGAATGTGCAAAAACAGTGCAATATCACACCATCCTGTAGTGTGCTCCTTGATCTCTGCACTGGTACCTGCGTCCTCTGCATCACTCGTTCCTACCTACCTACCTACCTACCTACCTACCTACCTACCTACCTACCTCACTGCCATTGTTCTTAGTCATTTTACATCCCAGGGCTCTTCTGTTTGTCTCCAGAGAGGTAACCAGGTTTGACCTGGAGACAGTAAGACCTGATTATCAGAAAAGAGAACACGGCATATACCAGGACTGCACCTGTAGCAAGCAAGGTCCTGGTCTCAGCAGTGTGCTCAACAGAGAAGATTCAGTAGAGGATTCAAGAACAACACTGGTCCAGATGTGGTTTCCCAAAAGACATATGAGACCACATTTTCAGTTGGCAAACACTGGGCGCCACTTCTGACTATGATCAGATCAGAGCCAGAGAGGAGAAACTAGACTTGAAGCTGTAGACCAGAATGTTACATGCCACAGAACCGATGCAATTACCTCTGATCTAAAGGTAGGATGCATATTGACTACGGGAAGAGGAAAGGGACAGTGACAAGAAGAAGTGGGAACACTCTCTGAGTGCCAAGGGCCCCACAGCTGCTCTTTAAGGCACAGATCTGTATTGGTCATGCAAAGCACAGGCTATGACAGACACGTATGAAAGGAAAGACGTTAAATGCCGGCACTGCATCTGACGCTCTGCAGGGCTGCTGTCCTCACCCACAGACACCAGGTTCCTGTAGTTCTCTAACATCACGTCCCTGTACAGACTCTGCTGCGGAGGGTCCAGGCATTCCCACTCGTCCGGAGAGAAATCAACGGCCACATCACTGAAAGTCAACTGGTCCTGAAATAATAAAAATGATCAGAGTTTTAGTGTCACCCAAGAGAGTTAGAACCGGTGCTGATGCAGGCAGTTGAAACTGTTCAGTAAGGTGCTTTTTATACCACACTAACATTCTACAACATCTTACCTTGCTGAGTTTAGGTACGACACAGCACCTGCTAAGCCAGTGTAAACATTCCATCGTTATGACATTTAATGTCAGCGTGTCAGAGTAAAGCACCGCTGCCAAGATATATACTATGCACACTAATATACAACACTGTGAGTATTTCTTAGACGAGAAAGGCAGAGTGAATTACACGGGTATTCTGTCTGATTCAGGAGGAGTTCTGGACTGCAGTCGGGCTTTCTGAGGACAACGCAGTAGTAATGCCGATGCCAGTGTTCAACGGTTGTTCATTAGCAGCCATGAGGCAGAACGCTAGTGGAAGAATTCACTGGTAACTTTGACTTTTAAAGTAATTATGAATTTGTTACGAGAGGTTCTTTGTCCCGGCTGGTATTGCCACCCTTTAGCCCCAAATGACCACACGAATGCTATGTTAGTTATAAAACTGTTGGCCAGTGGCTTGGGCTTCTTATTGCCTAGCTCTGTCTTAATTATTAACCCATTTCTATTAATCTATGTATTTCCATGTGGTCTTGGCTTACTGGATGCCTGGCACAGTGTCCTCTCTTCCCTGGGCTCACATGGCAACTCCTTCTTGCCTACATTTCCCAGAATTCTCCTCCTCTCCTAGTCCCGCCTATCTTCCTGCCTCTATTGGCCACAATGTTTTATTCATCAACCAATAAGAGAAACATATACACTGAAAAGGACAACTCCCATCATGCATTGTATTATAATGGGAAGTATAGTAAGAATAATCCTTTTGGTTATTTAAAACTACTATCTTCGATCGGAATGATTTCATGTTTCTTTTTTTCTATATCATTTTGTCAAATACACAGCAACTGGTCAAGCCTAGGTCCAGAAATCAGATGGAAACATAAAATAACTAAAGTAGCCTTCAAGCAGTTTTCACGTGAGATTGGGAATGGGAATGTGTTAAGAAGGCAGCAAAGCAAAACTGATCAAATTCTATTTTATTTCTACATATCAAAATGGTAGGTATAAATTCAAAGCAATACACTATGGCTGTGTATATTTCCTAGTGACAGAGTGCTTGCCTAGTAGACAGGCCCTGAACTCCTCCTGAGGACAGATTAAAATACACACATACACACAAACATCCCACACATAGACAAATAGACATACACACAGAGATATATAGACACACACACAGAAACAAACACACACAGACACACACATACACACAGACACACACACACCACATACAGATACACTCACACAGAGACACAGACACAGACACACAGACACAGACACACACAGACACACAGACACACACACACACACACAGACACACACA